AATGATTCACACACATCCGTGGGTGGGCAACTGCAGTCGGTGCATGGTGGGCCAACTGTGTCACTGTTTCTCTGTGTCATGATAGATCTCAATTGAGCGGCGGCAGCCGGCCTAAGGGCCGGCGTGCAACAGCGCTTGCCGCCGTATGGCTCCCCATGCGCTGGGGGCCCTCCCTCCGGGAGCCACCAGGCAGGAAGCTAGCCATCCGGAAGACTGGCGCTCCCCACCCGTGGCTCCCTGTGCGCCGGAAGCCCACCTTCCGGGGAACGACGAGGCCGGGAGTGAGTCGCCGGTCTGAAGACCCCAAAGACCGGCGCTCCCCGCCCGGCTCTCACCCACTTCTATACAAGATACTATCAGAAATTCCAGCCAAAGCAATCAGATGAAAGAAAGAAGAAAAGGAAGACAGACAGAGAGAGAGAGAGAGAAAGAAAGAAAAAAGGGCATCCACACATCCACAATGGAAAGAAGTAAAATTACCTCTGTTCACAGATTAAGTGTTGAAAACCCTAAAGATTCCACACACAAAAACTGTTAGAACTAATACACAAATTTAGCAATATAACAAGGTATGGTGCATACAAAAATCAGGTCTACTTTATATACTAACAGTATACAGTGAAAAAATGAGAGAAAGAAAACAGTTCCATTTATAATAGTACTAAAAATAATACTTAGTATTAAAGTGAACCAAGGAGGGAAAAATATTTGTACACTGAAGACTAAAAACCATTGCTGAGAGAAATTAAAGATATAAATAAATAGGAAGACATCCTTGCTCATGGATTGGAAGACTTAATATTCCTTAGATGTCTGTACTATCCAAAGCAATGTGCAGACTAACTGCAAACCTTATCAAATTCCCAGTAGGACTTTTTGGGAGCAGAAATACAAAGATTCATCCTAAAATTTATACAGAAGATCAATTGACCTCAAATAGCCAAAACAGTCCTGAAAAAGAACAAGGTTAGATAACTCACACTTCAGGATTTCTAATTATTATGAAACTATATTTAAGCTTTTACAAAACTACCGTAATCAGAACAGTATGGTACTGGCATAAAGACGAAGGGATCAATGGGATGAAATATGGACCTCAGAAATAAGCTCTCACATATATCAAATACTCTCCAAAAAAGATGGTGTTGGGAAAACTGGGTATCTGCAGGAAAAGAATGAAACTGAACCCCTATTTCTCACCATGTACAGAAATCAACGTGGAATGGATAAAGATTTGAACACATCCCAAAATTGTAAAATTCCTAGAAGAATTCACGGAAGTAAATCTTCCTAACATCTGTCTTGGCGATGATTTCTTGGATATGACACCAAAAGTAAAAGGACAATTGGGACTATGCCAGACTTAATTTTTGTGCATCAAAGATCATAATCAACAGGGTAAGAATCAGAGAAAATATTTGGAAATCATAACTTTTTCTTTGAAGAGTCAGGATCTCAGGATGTTACCCAGGCTAGTGTCAAACTCACAGCCTCAAATGACCCTTCCACCCCAGGCTCCTGAAGAGCTTGCACTGAAAGTGCCCACCACCATCCCTGGCTCAGACGCATAACATTTTAAAATAGTACTTATAATAGGGTTGCTATAGGAGACAAAAATGTAACAATTTTTAGAAGTATGAACATGGTTAGTAGATCCCAGAAAGGAGATTGAAGCATCCAGAGACTGGCAAGAGCGGAAAGATATTTGGGCAAAAGAAGAAAACTGTGTCACCAGAGCCCATTGAGACCTGGACCCCAGGAGAAAGATCCACTGGATCATAACTGGAGAAGGGTTGGAATGTGGCCACTGCCCAAACCAGAAGGCAGAGCAGGAAGGGCACGGGGAAGGTATGCTCATCACTCTCTGCTCCCCTCTTCCTGCTTCACACTTTGCCGAAGCTGAACAGCAGCAAGAAAGAAAGGGACCCAGCTGGTGTGAGGTCCAACCTCACAGGGTTCAGCACTGACAGGAAGGGGCAAAGAATGGATGGTGAGTGTAGGACAGTGTTAGAGCACCTTCAGATTAGAAAACAATCCCAGGACAATCCACCGAGCAGTCCGCATAAATCCTGTGCTTCGCTCCTAGCCCAAGTACCAGAAATTCCACAAAAGAAAAAAAAAAAAACCAAACAGTGTTTTCTAGGTGGGGAGGCGTCGTTTAGTTACCAACCGCGTGGAGCAGCAGCCAGGCCGCGGTGGTAGTGAGCGGTGGGTGAAGAGGGAACTCACCCTCTAAGTGACAACTAAAACTGGCTTGGGTATAATTGGGACGCCCAACAGTGTACCCTGCATGAAAAACAGCTTATCAGAAGTTAAGTGATAACGTTAGAACTCTGTCCCTTGTCTGGTTTTTTCCCTCTGTGCTGCTTAATTTTTCAGATAGGCCTTCTCCAAGTGGTGAGCAAGCTGACCACAGATAGCCTCTACCTCAGGCCTTCAAACTTAACCCAAATGTAAAATGAAAATCCCTCTCTCTCTCTGTCTCTCTCTCTCTCTCCCCCTCTGTATATCTGTATATATCTGATGACAAACTCTGTTTGTAAATTGGTTTGTATATTCCCTCCTAAACCAATTACTGTGTTATAGGAATATGGAATATCGTGATTGGCTCAAGCCTGGAATGGGTGCTAGCAGGTGGGGTACAGGGTGGATGCAGGTAGCAACCATGACGGACGGTTTTATCAGTCTACGTGGAACAGACCAGGGGAGAGTCTCCTAAGGAAGGGATTTTAGCAGATCCCAGTAAGAGAGACCATGGCTCTCAGCAAGGGCTACAGATGACACCAAAGCTGGGACGTCTGGAGAGTGGACGGAGTGGTGGGAGAAAGCAGAGACAGGCAGAGAGACCTTCTTCTTCAAAATAAAGCCAGGCTACAACAGCTGTGAAATTATAGCGAAATTTATTGTTGGAGGGGGGATGAACGAAGATATAAAGCTTACCATAACTACATCTGGGCTTGAAATGGTCTAAAGTCTCTCAGTACTGGGGCTGGGGATTTAGCTCAGCGGCAAAGCGCCTGCCTGGCAAGCTCAGGGTCGTGAGTTCGGTTCCTGGTACCGGAGAAAAACCAAAAAAAAAAGAAAAAAAAATAAAGTCTCTCAGTATTTAGAGATGGAACAGAGATAAAAATGGAAGATAGAAATGCTGTAACTTCCTCAGGTGAACTGTGAAGCTTGGTGCAATTAGGAAACAACCCCCAAATAGCTCTGGTTTTGCTGGTATGTGACCAAACCCTGAAAAGCTTAGATTCAGATAAGGGAGATTCCAATACGCGTCTCATGTACCCTCAAGCAGCTGAGCTGAAGGAACAGACAGGGCACAAGCCATCTATTGGGAGGCATGTAAGTTCCAGCACGACTGTGGAAGGAAAGGGTGTTTAGTCTACAAAGAGCAGCAATCAGTGGGAAAATCAGAAGCTTTCGAGGACAGAAACAAGATCAAGATTAAGCGCAAATGGCCCAGAAAGCCCACAGGAGTATTGTACCTGCTGCTGTTTATCAAACAGATTCCTTTCCTTCAAAATAGTGCCACACACATCTTCTCTAAGAACTCTTCCAGCATCTCTCAGCAGCGATGAGTTATTCCATGAGTGATCTGACCACCCATGGGATTCACTGGCATGTGCTCAGGGACTACCTGTTAGGAAAGAAGGGGTTTGATGACCCGGAGCCACAGGACCATGAGGACCCGACAGTGGCTGAGGCCGTCATCTTTTTCCTCTGTGAGGTTTGCGGGTGTGTCACGTAGGGTTCACTGGGGGAACGACAGACATCGACAGTCTGGAGCTCGATGCAGAGCTGAAGGGTCTTTTTTTTTTTTTGTCTTTTTGAGACAGGGTCTCAATATGCAGTTCAGGCTGGCCTTGAGCTCACTTTGGAGCCCAGGCTGGTCTCAAACTCACAATGATCCTCCTGCCTCAGCCTCCCAAGTGCTGGGATTACAGGCGTGCGCCACCACACCCGGCAGAGAAGAAGTGTCATCGCTGGAAGGCGGAAGCATGCCCTGGAACCCTGGAGATGGACATCCAAAGGTGAAGACTGAGCTCTTCAGAAGAAGCCAGAGCGAGACTTCCTCCTTCTTTCTCTTGTTATTCCACCCGGGCTGTTGATTGGTGCCACCCACATTCAGGGTGTGTCTTCCCTGTCCAGTAAGGCAATCATTCAGACACACCCGGAACTGTGCTAACCAATCTACTGGGCAGTTCTTATTCAAGTTGACACCACAATGAGCTATCGCAGTGAGCAAGTGGCACCTTTTAGGGCCACTAGTGATGAGAAATCAAAGTACTACTTTATATCCATCTAAATAAATACCCGATTTGTTAGTGCGGGGCTATCTCTTTATGGCAAGCTGCCTACACTGAAGACCTCCAGGAGCTTTTCCTGCTCTGTGACATGCTTACCTCATCGCACCTCAGTCCTGGCACAGCAGATACGAAATGCTTGCCTGTACATTTGAGTAAGAGAAAACAAGATGTGCAGACCCAAGACGAGACGCTGACTCGGTTTACTTTTTCCTGCGGCACGAAGTAAAAGCAAAAGCTGAATGAGGGTTCACAACCAGGCTGTTGCTAAATGTGGGCCATTTAACTTCCTGGACTTAACCCAATCCACCAAACAACCCCTCTGTGCGAAAAGCAGACCAGAAGAGAAAGAAAGGCCCCCAGCTTGCCTTCCCCTAACATCTGTTGTTCCAAAGGCGGGCCATGGGCCAGTGACACGAGGATTACGCGGTAGCTTGTTAGAAACGCAGAATCGTGCGCACACCCTACATCAGCAGACGGGGAGGACCGCCTCTGTATCTCTGCAAGCAACTCACACGCGTGTCCGAGGCTGAGAAGCACTGAGTTTCTGACTCCTGATCTCACGCTCAGATTTCTTTCATTCGAATCCTTGCTCAGTTCCTAAAATAGCGCTGCGCATATGGTCAATAGTTAATGAGGGGCTTGAGAAATTCTCACTGACACTTATTTGATTTCATTTAAAGGAAAGAGGGTGTTTCTGAGAAACTAGACCCCATCAATGGGCGGCTGAGACAGAGACAGAAGTACACTAAAAACAAGCAAATAAAACAGCTTCAGACATACACACATAGCTCCGCCGAGAGGGACAGATGGGCATAGTAATGCTGCTCTCACTCCCTCCTCCACCCACAATATTTCCTCCCTTCCTCATTTATGCTCTCCTTTGTCTGAGCTGGCACTGTGCTCCCTTGCTGTCTGTGTTCTGCCTCACATGCAGGCTAGCGCCACGTGGCTTGCTATTGTCCTGAGCAGCCTATCCTAAAAGCCAGCATCTCACGAGATTCTGTACCTCTCAGCCTGGAAACACAAAAAGCACTGTGTGGGGTCAGCACTTTCTCCTTTTCAGGCAGGGAGGGTTGGATCACGCGACCTGTTATGGTTGATACACTGTGTCAACTTGAGGAGTCTAGAAGCTTAGCTAAGTAATTCAGCGGTTCTGCACCCTAGGGTATAAAGGACACGCCCTTACCTCTAGGATATGTTCATTGCTTCAACTTGAGAAGTTTAGAAGGTTCATAAATGACTTAGCAGGGGGTGAGGGTCCTTATTTTGTAAACATCCTCAGCCTGTGGGAGAGGAGGACACAGAGATGGTGTGGGCGTGGGTGGAAGGGGACATACAATACCAGGGAGAAAAAGAATCTCACTTCCCCCACTTCGCTCTTACTGCTTTTGCTGTCTTCTGCCACCTTGAAGTGTTGCCCCTGTGCGTGTGCCACCCTGCCTTGGAGCCAGCTGATTACAGACTGAAACCTCCACAAAACGTAAGCTAAATATACCTTTTCTTCCTTCATTTTGGGCGTTGGGTATTTTGTCTCAGCAACAAGAGAAAAGTAACCAAGACAGTAACCCACTGCATGTCTTCTTTCTGACAGGACCTGGCTTCACACATAACAATGAAAGGTCCGGGGCTGGGGATTTAGCTCAGCGGCAAAAGCGCCTGCCTGGCAAGCGCAAGGTCGTGAGTTTGGTTCCCGGTACCGGAGAAAAACCAAAAAAAAAAAAAAACAATGAAAGGTCCGACCACCCAGCCCCCATGTTCCCCTCTCTGTTCAACCTCATACACTGCTTGAAAGTCAAAAGGGCCAAGGGCTGGCAAATATTTATGAAGTGGATTCTGCCGCCACATTATTACGGATTCCAATGAAGACAGGATTTAATGAATAATAATGTTACCATCTGTCAGACAAGCAACTGTGAATGAAGTAAGCAGCACCCCCACTTCTAAGTGAGGGAATCTGAAGCTGTCCACAGTTGAATAACTTGCCAGGGATGTAGCAAAGATAGAATTCCAGCCCACACCTGTCTGAGCCAAAGCCTCTTAACCACAGAACCAATGGGCTGTCTCTCTTGTCAGAAAACGCGATGGACTCACTAAGTAGGGAACCCTTCACTCTCTGTGGGGCTCATGTGAGGATCAGTGGGATTAAAGATGTTAAAGCATTTATAAAAATAAGGTACTATAAAACATGAGGTGTAATTTTATACATTAAGATTGTGTCCAACTAGCCCTCAGTGCTCTATAAATAGCAACTCCACACATGAAAAGATGTTCACCCTTATAATTAAGGCTATCCCAGGTAATTTAATATATATTTGTATTTATAAAATTAGAACACATTTTGCAAAGATTTGCCCTTACATACGTAAAGATACTTTGAACCTCTATGTTACTGGTAGGAGCACAAGTTAGCTCTGCCTTCCTGCACATCAGTATGTTTCAAGGCCTTCTTGGGATGGGTGTGCAGCTCCGTGATAGCGCACTTGCCTAACACTCAAGATGCTCTTCAGAACCAACAGGACTTGGCTGGGAGTGTAGTTCAGTGGTAGAGAGTGTTCCTAGCATGCATGAGTCTCTTGGTTAGATATCCAGAACTGCAAAGGGGAGGTACATCATTTCTTATAAGGAAAAATAAACTAGAAGATATATTTATCTATAAAGAGAGCTCTCTTAGAGATTCTGGAGCCAGAGTGCTTGGGTCTAAATTCCATATCTACTGCTGACTAGCAGTGTGATCTTGGACAAATCTCTGTGATTTAGTGTTTAAAATGGGAATAATAATAAGAACTTACTTCACTATTTTGATAGTTAAATCAACTATTATATGTAAGTGCTTAATCCAGTGCCTGGCACAAAGTAAACCTTATGTATACAGTATCTACTACTTGTTATCTCGGTGTTGTCTATAATAATAAAATCTGTCTGACTATACAAAACACCTGGCTACATATCCTACCATACAGGCATAAAATGGAATATTATACAGCCGTGAAGCATAAAGTTTCAGGGGCTAGGGATGTAGCTCAAGGTGCTTGCCTAGCATGAGGCCCTAAATGCAATCCCTAGCACTGGAAAAAGAAAAAAAGAAAGGACATGAAAGTAAAGACAGGAAAAGAAAAAAGAGGCTTTAAAAGAATATTCAAGCATATGTAATATAAAGTTGTAAAACAGAAACAAATTATGTATATTATCCCATAGCACTCATGTTTGTTAAAAGGGTACTTTCTACAAATACAGATGCATAGAAAACAATTGGTAAGAATTGCACCAAAAAGTAATAAAGGATGTATCTCGGTGGTGGTGTAGGGTTGAGGGTTCCTTCCTTATTCTTTTCTGTGTGTTTCCAAAACTCCTACAGCCTGCAGTGTTACACTTTAACAGGTACAAGGATCACCTGGCAACCTTCTTCAACTGCAGCTCCTACCCCTGTCAGTAGGTCTGGGATTTTTCAGATTCTGTACTTCTAACGGGTTCCTGAGTGACGCTGACACTGCCGGTCCAAGACCTATACTAAGAACAGGAAGCTTTTATTCTATGTGCTGCCGAAGTGGGCGTGAGTAGCTTGAGTTTCTAGAGCAGTGCATCAGCTCCCAGGGGATCTTGGAAAAGGACGGTTGTGGGGCCCCATATCTAGAGTTTCTGGTTTGGTAGATGTGAGTGAAAACCTAGAACTCGTTATTTTCAAATAACGCTGATGCTGCAGATCTAGGAAACACATTTTGACGACTACTGCTTTAGAATATATATACATATATATATATTTTAGCGTCATAAAGGAGGGGGAGGGCGCTAAAAATATATCTGCCATCTTCACTGTGTACAAAATCCAGTTCAAACTCATCATCCAAAATCTTCCACGGTTCCTCCCAGTTCTTTCTGCTTAGGCCACAGAATCTAACTACCGTGCCCTAAACACACCTTGGATTCCAAACATTACAATTCCTGTGATCTCCTGACAGGTCATACTGTTTCCTGATGCCCAAATCCTACATGTCTTTCAAGGTCCTCACATGGTACCTACTCCCCAAGCCTCCCAAACCACCGCTCCTCAAAACGCGCCCTCTGCCCACTGCGCTCTTCCTGACAGCACTGTCCCTGGCTCCCGGGTGACACCTTCCCGTCGCGAGCGGTCTAGTGACTCTGTTGGCGGGTGTCGTGTGTCTCCCCCGGCGCACTGGGAGTTTCTGGGGTAGGGGAGTAACTGGCCTATCATCTAGGCAATCCCCAGCAGACAGCTGACACTCAGAGCTGACAGAAAGAATGGAGTGGACGGAGCCGCCCGCGGAAGGGCTCGGGACTGTCCGGTGATGGAAACTGGAACCGCTCGCCCAGCAAGCCGGGTGACCCACAGTAACAGGTGTGCGCCTGTGTGCGTCTGTGATTCATCCGCACAGCTGCGCGCTCGCGCGCGCACACACGCGCACGCGCGCACGCGCGCACACGCACGCACGCACACACACACGCATGCACACACACAGGCACACACACGGACACGCGCACACACACGCACACACACGCACACACAGGCCCCGGGACGCCACGCCTCGCCCGCCGACGTGGGCACCGTGCTCTGGCGCCCGGAGACACACCTCAGCCACAGCCCGCACCCGCGAGAGGCAGGACCTGCCCCTTGGGACCGGGCACGCCCGCGCGGTGGGCGTCTGCGCCCGCTGCCCCCGCTTCCCGCGGAATCTCGGCGTCACATCTGTGGAAGGTGAGTCCGCGTGCGTTTGGACACGGCCGACCCCCATCCGCACGCGCACACACGCGCGCGCGCTCACACGCACACTCACACGCGCGTGCGCACACTCGCACGCACTCGCACACTCACACGCTGCCTCCCCCCTCGCGTGGCGTGCGGCCGGGCCGAGCGCGGCGCGGG